GGATCCCGCGGCGGAGGGGGATGCCAGGGGGGTCGCCAACTGCCAACGCGCGGGCACGCAGCGCCCGCCGGGTTCCCCACCGCGGATCCCCGCTCTGCACTCGCGCAAGTGTGCGTGCGCTGATGTCTATTAAACCGGTCTCAAAACCCCAGGATGATGTTGTTGTTGTTATTATTATTGCTTTCTGAGAGGTGCAATGCAAGGTGATGAATGTTTAAATCATGTGAGTTTAATTAATAGACAATTTAATCCCAAATAGGCTTTGCCAGGCTCCAAACTGTGAAGTCATTTCCAGAAGTTAAATTATTCTAATTTTCCAACAGAGGCACAGACTCTTTCAAGTTCTGCAAGCCCAATGGCAAATAAAGACATCTCCCCAAATTGATGTATTTGCTTTTAAAAATGACACTTTATAGAGGTTCTGGTGAGCTCTTTCACATGCGTTTGTTTTTAAAAGCTCTTTTAATAGCCCCCCCCCTCCATTATATATGGTTTTCCAGCCAGTGTTCCCTTGAATGTTTAGGGGTTTGTTACCGTGGACATTTTTACCCAGGCAATGTTTCAGACTTGCTTTTAAAACAACTACAAGGTGCTGGAAGAGTTTTCAAAATAGAGACAGACCTGTTCCTCACCCAAAGTCACAAAGCAGATCACTTAGACTGATCATTGTTATTCTCTTATACCTCTATTCAGTAAAACTTAGAGTAAATTTCAGTGAAACCCTTAGGAAATGACCCTGTTGCACTGAGGTGTTTACATGTCCTTTGGTATGGTGATTTCACCTTTAAGAAAACTATTGAAAAATAAATGAGGGTGCCAAAGTACTAGGGAAAATTAAGCCTACGCCTAGGTTGTTTGCATCAGCGTACTTAAAGAAAGTCTAATTTTCCACTGTTTCCTCAGAATTATAGGCTAATTATTATCAGCTCGCCTTGTAACTATCCGAGTCCCCACCAAGGTATCTCTGAAGACAACATATTGTTCTTCACTTTACTTATCTTATAAACGTCAGTGCTCTCTTGATACTTTCCTTATAGACCAGTGAGAAAAATATAGCCCATAGACCCAATAATCTAGGATGTAGAAGATAGCCTGGTGTGGTGGCTAATGGCTGTAATACTAGCTAATTGGGAGGCTGAGGCTGGAGGATGGCAAGTTCAACTTGATTGGCTAGAGAGCTGCCCAGGGGAGAGGTAAAGCACACTTCTGTAAAGGAGATGTGACTTTGGATACTGTGTCCCTGGCCCCTTCCTCTCAGACACTCTTTTCCCACTTTGCTTCCTGGCTGCCAAGAACTAAGGGATTTTTCCTCTGGTACATCCTTTTACCAGGATGTTTTTGCCTTAAAGCCGGCTGACCAGGGAATAAATCCTCTGAATCCACGAGCCAAAGAAACTTCTCCTCCTTTAAGTTTGGGGTATCAGATCATTTGTCCTAGCAATGGGAAAGCTGATTAATACATTCGTGCATTAGATTTGTTTTCCAACTTTCAGAACTAGCATGTTTACAGTTGCACACATACCATGCCTGTTCCTGACCACGATAGCTTCCAAGACCCTCCGTGGACACCCAAACTTGCAAAGAATAAACACATCCTACATAGGCTACATCAGATGCATTGCTGTGATGAAGTTTAATTTATAAGTTAGGCCCAGCAAGAGGTTAACAACACTGAATGATCACATAGAGCAATTATAATGATATCCTGCCATAAAAATTACTCAGAACTTATGCATTGTTTAGTTCTGGGATTTTCCATTTCACTTGTCAGAAAAGCAAAACTACAGATTGGGGGAACAATTGCATATTTTATTAATAAAGACTTATTTTTAATTGCCCAGCTGAGACTAGTTACAAATGCAACCAGTAGCAGTGAACAACATCCAGGTAAACTGTGATCCTGCTAGTTTGATTACAACTGCCTCGTTCAATGTTTGGCTTCCAGCAAAGTGGGCAGAAGTGCGGGGAACCTCACACCTGCTGGATTTCTAACCACATCGATGATGCATCTGTGTAGGAGAGGGCCTGGTCTTTGACAGAATCTGGAGATAGGAGTGATAAGGATGGTATTTTCACTTAAATGACATGGGAAAGTTAAGGCAAAGAAGAAAGAGAAAAGGTGTCAAATACTTAGAGAATGCAATCAAGGCCTAAGTGAGATTATATTGTCACCAAACACACAGTGAGAAAATTCTTCCTTTACATGGTTTTTTTTTTTCCACTGACAAAAATATCACCATTTTAGCAGAAATGAACAAGTTTAGCAGAAACCAAGAAGGATGTTTTTAGAATTCATAAATTATGATGTCACCATTTTACAGGGTAAGCAGTAATTTCAGATATTTACATTATCAGAAAGGAAAGCAAAGAAGAAACAAAGAGCTTTCAGATACTCTTGGATGCTCTCATAACTCAAAACTGACAGAGACTCTAAATTAAAAATTGGAGGAAAATAGTTAATATATGTTTTGAGATTATTTAGATACTCTGGAGAAAAAACAAAATCAAGCTTAGTGTCTCTATTTTTATAGTCTATCTCAAACTTAGCCTTATTTTGAAGTATTTATGTTTCAGAGATTCAGAACAGGAAAAACAATAACTTTTCTCAAAGCAGTATCATTAACAAAATGTCTTTAGGAAACCCAACTAGAAATAATCTCTAAACCAATATACTTCTGAAAACAGTCTTAGATTGGTAAGAAAAAAAAAAGATGCTAGAGAAATTATTACAGTTCCAAGGCTTGCATCAAATCTTTTAATATGTAATTACATATCTCAAAAACATTCCATTAGATTTGATATAAAGGAGTATCAAATACTCTGCAGAAAACAACTAGGAACTTGTTTGTCCTGAGAAGCACTGTTGTCCCCAAATGGCTACAGACTCTCTGTACCTAAAACAACTGCAGGGATATTGCTGATCTGTGTGTGTGTGTGTGTGTGTGTGTGTGTGTGTGTGTGTGTAGAAAATACTTTTCACCTTTTCCACTTTATTTCTATGTCATTAATTTCAAGTGTGCCTTTTGCCCTGATTTTTTTCTCAAAAGAATTGACCCATTTATAATTTTTGCATGACAATTTGTCTTTTTGAGTTAAATGTCATACAAGTAATGTTCTCCTAATGGTCAACAGAGGGTTTGTGACTTTCTCATTCTATAGGAGTTTTATAGAGATTATAACTACCAAATTGTTTCACTATGCATTTTACCTACTTACAAGATTTACCTTGTATTTTTGTCAAAATTTTTAACATGTAATTTTGATATTTCTACTCCATTTGATGGAGTAGAAATAATTAAATTTATTTTAATTAAGAAATACCAGGAGTGGACCTGGGATTTAGCACAGTGGTGCCACCACCTGTCTTGCAAGCACAAGGTGCTGAGTTCAATCCCCAGTACAAACAAAACAAAACAAAGAAATACCAAAAGAAGAGATAAATAAATTATAGTATATTTTATAGTCAAATACTATTTCCAATAGAAAAAGAATGAACTATTAGTGCAAGCAATGACTTGGATGAATTTTACTGTGTACTGAGTGAAAAAAACTACATGCAAAATAACACCTACTGCATGTAAAAAGTTGTCAAAACTCATTGAACACCTAAGCTCTGTGTATATTATAATAGGTAATACCTCAATTTTTAAAAATGTAATAAAAAGAGAAATGCAAGGAATCACTGGATATCTACCAGTAATTAACAACCTAACAAGTAGGGTGTTTTGTTTTTGTTTTTGCAAATTTAAATCATCTTACCAGACTCTCCCAATTTCTCTCTTCCCTGTCTGAATCGTATTAATTATGTATTGCTGCTCTAATAAGCTAACCTAAAACTTGGTAATTTAAAATAATAATAATAATTATTATTATCTCTCATTTCATTGTTTCTGTGGGTCAAATATTCAAACAGGGCACAGCAGGGACAGTTTGTTTCCTTCTGTTACCTGGAAGCCTAGAATCACCTGAAGTCTTCACCAGGGCAGGAGGCTCTGTTTTCAAGGTGGCTCACTCACCTGGCTGGCAAGTTGTACCTATCCATCCTCCCAGCATAGTGGCAGGCTTCAGTGGAAGCAGAGATTCAAAGACTGAGATTAAAAGCCATCTTTTGCTTGGTGCAGCCTCAGGAGTCATTTGGCAATGCTTGAACCAAATTCTAATCTTTAGTAATAATTCACTGAGATTAATTCTAGCTCAAAATCAATGAGAAAAGAATTAAGATCTAGCTTTTGAAAAGAATCCTACCACCATTCTGGAAGGCTGAGGTGGGAGGAACATAAATTCAGTGAGACTATGTCTCAAATTTTGGAATAAGGCATGGAGAAGATGAGGGAGGGGTTGGAGCATGAGGGTGTAACTCAGTGTGAAGGCCCCAGGTTCAATACCCAGTACTGGAAAAAGAAAAAGTTCTAACAGAATCAAAAGAGTATCAAAGACTTATTTTAAGATTTCTCAAGAGTCTGCATGAATTGAACCACCTTTGCTGATCTCTTGAATACTGATTCTGTACTCCTCACGGTTCTCTTCTTTGTCCTCCTTCTACATATCCTATGGCTTCATTGAACCCTCCCAAACCCCTTTGAAGCCCAGGCTTCTCTCCTTAGCTCTAAATCTGCAAATGCAAGTACCTCTTCCCATCCCCATTTAAAAGCCTAAAAGAGCCTCAAACTCATTCTGAACTCCACACAAAAGTCAAATAAAATAAGTCCAAAGTCTGCAGTAACGAGATGGTTATTGGTTACCTTTGGCAGCATAATTCCTTATAGCAGTATCAAAATTTCAGCAGGTTTAAGGATGAGTAGGAGATGAAAAAGGAGAATACATGTAAAGACATGCATGGACATGCTCACCTCTGAGGGGAAAGAAACAAAGAAATTCGTGGCTAAGTGAATAAGGTAAAGCCATGGTAATGTTTACCTCTTTTCTAGATCTTAAACCCGCAAAGGCTCCTGTGCTGAAGACTTGGTCACCAGCCATGGCACAAGCTGGGAGAGTGGACCCTAGCAGGTGCTGCCTAGTGAAAGGAAGTTTGCTATGACCCGCATGGCTGAAGGGTTCACAGAGTGTGAAACGACAGTGAGAGATTAAGAAATTCAGACAAAGGAGAAGACAAAGTCAACAGTAAAGTGTACATAGCTGAAGGCAGTTGGAAACTCTTTGTCCTGATGAGACAAAAGGTTTGGTTTGCATCCTCAGCACCTTTATTTATAGTGTAGATAAGGAAACCGGAAGGGGGCGCCTGACTGGAATAGGGAGAATGGCTAGGGTCTGCAGGAGATAACGCTTGATGTTTCTCTGGTAAATGGGTGGGAAGGAAGAGAGTCCTCTTCTCAGCCAGGCCTTGCTCCACGGTGCCCTCTTGCCACGGGTTCTCCTCCCACAGCAGGGACCTTCCTCATCTGAGGAAGGGAGTTAAGCAGAGCCATTGTGATCTACAGCACATGGCTCCCCGCAGAACTAAGGTCTCTGAGTGCATACACATGCATGAGGTTTGGGGACTGAGCCCTCCTCTTTCTTCACTGGGAGGTGAGGCTCTTCTGTCACATTCTCCCCACCTTGCTATACTGTTCTGTCATGGGCCCAAAGCAGTGGGGCCAAGTGACCAGGCACTGAAACCTGCCATCAAAACAAACCTTTCCTCCTTGAAGCTGATATTCTGGGTAGCTTTTCATATGGACGTAAATCCACCCCCCATCAAGTATGTTTGTGTGCTGAGAAAGAAGGTGGTGAAAATGCCAGGCATAGCTGACAACTGATCAAACAGGCTGCTTGCGGTGGAAAAAAAATGTCTTTAAAATCCTTCAGTTGCATATTTGCCCAATTTTATTTTTGTTTTGAGAATCATCTTTAGGAATAACATCAGCAGGACACGTTGGATGAATAATAATCACACTTGCTAAGTAATAACATTCAAAACACCACAGAGTCATTTTAAACATCCTATGTGTTCTATGAGAACTGTAGGATGTTCATTTTGACCACTCATCCTCATCCTTGGTGAGCAGCTGAGTCATCCTGGGCCTCCAAGCCCTACTAACATCTCTGGCCATTTTTATAATAGCCATGCTTCTATGACCTCAGGCCCTTGCATGTAATTTTGTATCTACTCGTCACCACCTTTAAAGTCATCTTTGGCCTTAAGACAAACCCTTGTAGGTCTTTCATTTTTTCTCCCAATATTCTCCTATGAATTCACTCTATTTTTATGCAGCTCTGAATACTAATGTGGCCTCAGACTGCCCGTCTCTGCTCTAATTCCTGCTGACCATGTGACTGCAGATTCCTTAACCCTAAGTCGTAGTTTCTTCTCTGTTCAATGTGGATATTAGTACTCCTTACCTCAGAAGTTTACTATGGAGCATAAATACAGTAGCTGATGAAAACAGAGAACACTTTCTGCTATCAATAATTGATCAATTATAAGCAAGTAATCGATACCTGTCAGCTATTATCCTAGACTTGCTTCTTTGCTTATTCTCTTCTCTCTTCCTATGTATTATCTTTCTCAGCAGTTTCTCTTTGGCAACCTTGTCCTCCTTATTTCTCCTCTAACATTCTGCACAAAGGACTGGAACCCTTCCTGGTGGAACTCTCACTGCTTGATCATCTCTGGACTTTCAACAATGCAATTAGTACTTTGCTTCACAAAGTAACTTTATTTTTCTTTTCTGATACCCTGAGAGTTTTTGAGAATGACTTCTAATGAAAATCAGTTCACCCCCTTTATCTATAGTGTTTTCTTTCTTTAAAATGTTCCCCTGACCCACCTCTGTCCCCACCCACTGTTGCAGGAAACTGGCCATACTCAAAGGCTTTCAGTCACCCACCCAAAAGATCATAAAGCACTGCTGTGTTATTTCTAATTTTCTGCTGTGTACCTCGCAAAACTTCCATCAGGCTGATAAATTCACAGTTGATTTCAGATCATTTCACAGAGGCTATTGAGTTGTTGATACTTTAAAAACCATGTTTCGATCATCTAATAGTAAGCTAGATTTAGTCAAATCCTGGCAGGAAAAGTCCACACTTCGCACATTTCACCCCTAAAACATCCAACATAGTGTGTGGGACACTTTTGAGGCCTAAAAATTTCTCTCTTTAGATTGAGAAATGACTCCTTACTCACCCCAACATGGTTTTGTGGAACTGATTCCCTCCCCATGACCATAAGAATGGCCTTGGGTTGACAGGTCCCAAATCACTGATATCCAAGGCTAGGTCAAAGCAGAGCACCACAGAATCCTCCCGCCAAATGCTGTAATGGTGCTGCAGGGATGGTTGCATCCCGTTTCTGTTGGAAGGGCAGCTGGCCGGGCTGGAATTGCTGTCCCATAGCCTAAAGGAAGTCTTCGTATAACAGCAGAGAATAAGACCAATGCACACAGAAAAACCGAAGCTAAAGGAGCAAAACAGATGGTGCAGGGTGGGGAGCACACAGGGAGATTGGTGACATACAAACATCAGCAAACAACTATACCAGCTCCCTTTGAACACCCCAGGCAGGAGACTGCCTCATTCGCCCCTGCATCACCATAGCTGGTCTGTAGGCAGTGCTCAGTCAGTACCCGGTGGGTAGTTAAATAAATAAGCCAGCAGATATCCCTTTGCTTAAGAGAACTATTTCTATCTCTTGAAACTGAATGTACTTGGACTTGGGCCCTCACCCAGGCAAACCTCAGCATTGCCACCGTGAGCACCCTCATTTCCGTGAGAACAGACCTGCAGTGGCTAAAGAGAATGTGTGCAAGTGACAAGCGATGAGTTCGTTTCCAAAAAGACTGGCATATTGAAATAACAGATTTTTTTTTTCTTGGTCAAATTGTGTGGGAAGATACAAAGACACTCTAGGATGGATAAATATTTTATAAGGTGTCTATTTACAATGCTTTTGCAATGTGGCATATGGGGGATGCCAGGTGCTATTTCACGATCTGCACCACTTTCCCCTGCGGTGCATTTTTACCAGTAAAGCACCGTGCTCAGCTGTTCATTACACAGGAATCTTTGATTTCTTTCACTGGCCTAAATTAAAAAGTTACTTACATGCTAACAGATAGTTGTATGCACCAGTCCTTGGCCAGAGATGCAGGCCAGAAGCACCTGTAGCACACTAAAACACGTTTTATGCATGCCTGGTTTGCTTGTTTGGAGTGCGGGGTGGGTATGTGCATGTTCAGGGCACAGTTTGCTGATTAAACCCTACTAAATCCCTGTCCGGGTCACACCCCAAGCTAAGCTCAATACCCTGCCACTCCTTAAGACAAAAGGGTGCATTCTTCCTCTCCAGTCGGTTCCCTTTTGGGTTTAGGGCTGCTCTCAGGATATCATTCCTTTAGTTCACTCCATACACATTTCCTGAGTGCCTGATACTAACAGGCCACCCATTAGCACGAGTCCCTGCCTCTACAGAGCTCGCATTCGAATGGAGAGACCGACCCTGGCAGAGTCATGAAGCGTGTCACATGTTAGCTCAGAGCCTTGTAAGGGACAGAGAGGCACAAAGGGCAAAGGTTCTCCCAGCAGCGCATCACAGTTGCGGGCCACAGACTACAGCTGGACACGTGTGGGCACCTGCTGACCTACGGACTGGGCACTGCAGTGTGGCCATTCACACCTGTGGCTATTTGTCTCTGAGGTGACTGGAATGTGTGAGGTTGGACCTAGAGGAGCAGCAAAGACATTACCTTGACCGACCTCACCTTCTCACCGGGCCACAGGGCCCTCCCTCGCCCCAGGCCTTAGAAACCCTTCTAGTTGGGCTCTTTTCTTCCACTGCCCCAAGATCCTAAGTGCATAATTAAGGCCAGGACCAGGGGCTGGGGATTTAGCTCATTGGTTACTCTGCCTGCCTCCCAAGGTCCTGAGTTTGATCCTTCGTACCAAAAAAAAAAA